CGGGGGACACCAGATCCAGGAATCTACAGACTAATCAGTCTAACATCAATACCTGGGAAAAATCTGGGAAAGATAATCAAAAAACAGATTTGGGAGCAACTAGAAGCAAATAAAGTTATAACTAGTAGCTAGCATTGCTAGTTACTAGTTAAAAATAAATCATGCCAAACCAATCTTATTTCATTCTTTGACAAAGTGACTAAATTAGTAGACCAGCAAAATGCTGTGGACATAGTATATTTAGATTACAGTAAGGCATTTGACAAAGTAGACCACAATCTACTTCTTGGTAAGCTAGAAAAATGTGGAATAGACACCATCACTACCAGATAGATTTGTAGCTGGCTGACAAACCATACTCAATGAGTAGTCCTTAATGGTACTACATCCACATGGAGAGAAGTAAGCAATGGGGTACCACAAGGCCCATCTTAGGCCCAGTACTCTTCAATATTTTTATAAATAACTTAGATGAGGGAATAGAAGGGGAATTCATCAAATTTGCAGATGATACTAAACAGGCAGGAATAGCCAACACCTCAGAAGACAAATTCAGGATCCAAAAAGATCTTGACAAACTTGAACAATGGGCTCTATCCCACAAAATGAATTTTAATGTGGAGAAAAGCAAAACTTTACATTTAGACAAGAAAAATCAAAGGTATAAATGCAGATTAATGAGACCTGGCTCAAAAACAGTAACTGGGAGAGGGATCTTGAAGTTCTAGTTGATAATCATTTGAATATGAGCCAGCAATATGCAGCTGCAGCCAAAAAAGCTAATACAATCCTGGGTTGCATAAACAGAGGCATAGAATTGGGCTGGGATCGAAAAATTTCAGCAACCAGTTCTCTGCCTGGTTGCTGGGTGGGCATGGCCATGGGGGCATGACCTACTTGGACTCATGTACTACGGCGGCGGGGGGGGGGCATTTTCACCCTCCCCAGGCTCCAGAGGCTTTCCTCAAGTCTCCAGAAGGGCAAAAATGGCCTCCCCCAGGCTCCGGAAGCCCTCCAGAGGCCGGAAAAGGGCCTGTTTTCAGACTTCCGGTACTTCCAGTAGGCCCGTTTTTCACCTCCTCAGGCTCCGGGGGGCTTCCCAGGCTCAGGGGGGCTCCCCAGGCTCTGGGGGGGCTTTTCCAGGAGGGGAAAACAGCCTCCCTGGGCTCCGGGGGCCCTCTGGAGGCTAGAAATGGGCTCATTTCCAGACTTCTGATACTTTGGGTAGGCCCATTTTTTGCCCTCCCAGAGCCTCTGTGTGCGCCCTGCACTTACCTGGCATCCAAAATGGGGTGCATGGAGATTCCTGGGAGGAGAGGGGTAGGGTGGGCGGGACACCTGGTTCAGCGAACCAGATTAAAATTAACATCTAATTCACCCAAATCGATCCAAACCAGCTGAATTCCACCCCTGCATAGAATCAAGACCATCAGTGCCACTTTACAAAACCCTAGTAAGACCACACCAGGAATACAGCAACCAATTTTGGTCATCATACTACAAAAAAGATGCTGAGACTTTGGAAAAAGTTCATACAAGAGCAACTAAAATGATCAAAGGCCTGGAGACTAAACCATATGAAGAATGGTTGAGAGGTTTTGGGTTTGGCTAGTCTAAAGAAAAGAAGAATTAGGGGTGACATAATAGCAGTATTCCAGTATTTGAGGGGCTTCCACAAAGAAGAGGGGGATCAAATTATTCTCCAAAGCACCAGAGGGCAGGATAAGAAATAATGGTTGGAAACTAATCAAAGAGAGAAGCAACCTGGAATGAAGGGGAAACTTCCTAACAGTGAGGACAATTAACCAGTGGGACAGCTTGCTTCCAGAAATCATGGACGCTCCATCACAGGAGGTTTTTAAGAAGAGACTGAGTCACTTGTCTGTGATGGTATAGGTTCTCCTGCTTGAGCAGTGGACTGGACTAGAAGACCTCCAAGGTCCCTTCCAGCTCTATTCTATTCTATTCTATTCTATTCTATTCTATTCTATTCTATTCTATTCTATTCTATTCTATTCTATTCTTGATTTTGCTTTGGAGGTAGGAACACGTACCATCATTTTCTATTTGGAATCCTGCTTTTCTGTCCCATAAATTCTCTCCTTTCCCTCCTATTCTTATTCCTTACTGCTATAAAGAAAGCTATTTTGGGGGGTTTGCTATGCAATTCTTATGTGTGAAGTAGGACGTTCTTGCACTTTACAAATAAGGAGTCCTTGAGGTTTCTGTGAGTGTATTTGCCTTTCTTTGTATAGTCTCTTCTTTAGTGGTCTGCAGACTCCTTGGTTTCATTCACCTTAATTAAATCCTAAAGTGAGACATTACAGGCTTGGGCAGCAAAAGAACCATAAAGGGATGAGAAAGTGTATAATAATAAATGTATCACGTACAATTTCCTATAAGAGTACACTCAAAACTACTAAGGAGAAGAAATTGCAAGAAATTCTTCCTTTGAAAGGCACAAAAAAGAAACTCAGAAAAGTTCCTTTTCCAGGGATAAAACATTTTTATGAAATTGCAATGCAGTCTTCTTATTGGGAAAAAAAGGTTATACTGTATAACTGGGAAAACTGAATAAATGGCAGTACAAAGAGGAAGCATATTCCAAATGAAGTAAATGAATTATTAAACTGATTATCTTAAATTGCTTTTAGGTAGGTTTCAGGCCACTTATGGTACAGAAATGGCATTGGTTGCATTTATGGATGATCTCTGGCAAGAGTGGGATGGGGGAATGCATCTATCCTCACCCTACTTGACTTCTTGGCAGCTTTTCATACCATGACCATGGTATCCTTTTGGACGAGGTACTGAGTTTGGGACTGGGTGGTGCTATTTGGTTTCTTTCTCTGGAGAGAACAGAGAAGCAAGAGGTCCAGTCCTTGGCTATTCCTTTGTGGAGTACGGTAGAGTTTGGTAGGCTTTACTTCTTTTTAACATATACATGAACCATAATAATAGAATAACAGAATTGGAAGAGACCTTGGAGGTTTTCTAGTCAAATACCTGCTCAAGCAGGCCTTATGGCTCATGGTCCAATCTCTTCTTAAAACCTCCAGTATTAGAATACCCACAACTTCTGATTGCAAGTTATTCCATTGATAATTATTCTAACTGTCAGAAAATTTCTCCTTAGTTCTAGATTGCTTTTCTCCTTGATTAGTTTTCATCCCTCCTTGTTCTGCCTTCAGGTGCTTTGGAGAATAGGTTGATTTTCTTTTCTTTGTGGCAATCCCTGAGATATTGGAACACTGCTATCATATCACCTCTAGTTCTTCTTTTCATTAAACTAGACATACCCAAATCCTGCAACCATTCTTCGTATGTTTTAGAATCCAGCCTCCCTAATAATCTTTGTTGCTCTTCTTTGCACTCTTTCTAGAATCTCAACATCTTTTTTTTATTGTGGTTACCATAACTGGATGCAAGATCCTAAGTGTTGACTTTGATATTAGAAGGCATGACTTACAGATAGGATGGCATGCCTTTCTATGGGATGGGAAAAATAAACTTCATAGCTACTTCCAGAGACATCTAATTAGAGACGCACTGCTACAAGTATGGCAAAGAATAAAGAAAAATCATTATATCAAAATTCCAGATTGGCTATCAATGATGGAGGCATTAATTTACCTGAACGTATTGGACATCAATAAAATAAAAAGATGTAAAGATTTACTAAACAGCCAGGGGGAACTGAAAACAAGACAAGAACTAAAAGAACAGGGCATAGACATCAATTGGTGGCCATACATGCAGATCCAAACTAGATACAGGAAGGACTTAGAACAACATGGATTTCAAAAAGAACCACAAGAATTAGATAAGATTTTACAAGGCACGGAGGACAAATTGATTAAGAAAATGTACAATTATTTATTGAGATATAAAATAGAGGAGGGGGTAGTTAAAGAAACTATGATAACCTGGGCCAAAAACTTCGCCTATAATATTGAATTTGAAAAATGGGAGAAACTTTGGAATAAAAACTATAAATTGATGATGTCAGTAACTTATAAAGAAAACATGTATCAAATGTTTTATAGGTGGCATCTTCCACCAGCGAGACTGGCTAAAATGTTCCTGAATACTTCATCAACTTATTGGAAATGTAAACAAAATCAGGGAACATATTACCACATGTGGTGGACGTGCCCCAAAGCAAAACAATATTGGAATAGAGTAAGAATATATTTAGAAGAAATAACCAAGCAGCAAATAGATATGAAACCAGAATTATTTTTGTTAGGAATAATTTCAGGGAATTATGACAAAAAATACAATATTTAATTATTCATATCACAACAGCAGCGAGAATAATATATGCACAAAATTGGAAGAACAACAATACACCATCAGAGGAACATGTGATAAGGAAAGTTTTATAGTGCGCAGAGATGGATAGATTCACAAAAGAAATACAAGATAAGGAAGATACACAGTACTATATAGTATGGAATAAATGTGTGAATGGTTAGAGGAGAGGTGCAAAGGATAAGGACAGATTAAATGAACATACAGGAGTTAGAACATAATAACAAACTTGTAGAAATGGAAATGACACATAATGTGTGATTGTAATTTAGTACACTGATACACTAATATGTATAAATAAATATTAGAACCATATTTATAGATAAAGGTAAATTGAAGTAAGGGGGGGGAATATATAAGAAATATATAAGAAATGTGTAAGTGTTGTAAAGAAAAAAATTGTTTTAATTTTGTTTAATAAAAAATTATTTAAAAACAAACAAACAAACAAACAAACAAACAAACAAACAAACAAACAAACAAAGAAGCACTGGGGAAGGAGAAGCAGACTTAAATATAGCTTCCATTTACTTGAGAACGAATTTAGTAGAGGATATGGCAAAAATGTTTGGGATTCTATTTTAAGCATGCTACTTATTATCCTGTCTACTGGGGAAAGGGGGAAATGTATTATATTTCTCAAGTGCAGATAATGGAGTTTATTAAGAATGCATTTTCTCTTTTAGTTGCAAATGAAACAGGAGACAAGACTGTTCATCCTCTGTCACGGTTTGCACGTAAGTAGTCTAGCCTGTTAATTTATTTACTGAATGTTAGTAATATATATATAAAACACGAAAGAAAGCCATGGATTCTCCCTTTCTCTAATATTTTAAGAACATGATGATGTTGACAACAAAAACGATGATGGTGATAATTCCTGCTGTCTTTCTTCTGCACCCATGGCAAAAATAAACTCCCAGCTTTTACAGTACAGATAATTTTAAAAAATAACTTGAAGGAAAGTCCCCTGACTGAAGGCATTTTTCACTGAGGTCTTGGACAGTGGGGATCCCCATGAGATCCCTCTGGCTCATGGGTCACCAAGCTTTTGGATCTCAGGGACCACTAAATTCATAATTTTAAATCCCATGGACCACTAATATGAATTCATCACGCCGCTAGCTGAAGCATCTGGACTCCCAGTGACGGGATGGGGTCCTTCAGGCACTTAGTTTGCCTGCCTGTTTCTGCAACCTTAAACACACAAAGAGTCATTTAGACCTGTTTCCCACAGAAAACAAAACACTGGGATCTGTCATCTCTCTCCCCTCTCTCTTTGTCTATCTGTCTCTCTCATCTTTCTCTCTCATCTTTCTCTCTCCCCTCTCTCTTTGCCTGTCTGTCTGTCTGTCTGTCTGTCTGTTTTATCTCTCTCTCTCTCTCTCTCTCTCTCTCATCTCTCTCTCCCCCTCTCTCTTTGTCTGTCTGTCTGTCTGTCTGTCTCATCTCTTTCTCTCTCATCTCTCTCTCTCATTCTGATTCTCTGGCACTCTCTGGATCTCGTGGGTGCTTCTTTGGCGTCTGTTGGTGCTGGATGCATCACAGTCGCTCAGGGAGATGCACAACCTGCTCTCCACCTGAGACACTTGCCTAACCCGAATGCGGCTGATGCTCCACATCGTAATGGGTTCCAGGAGAAGAAGGGGATGCTGTCTCCCCCATTGTAAAGCACACTAAATTTAACTGCACTGCAAGAGCAGTGGACAGGCCATGGAGACACTACCAGCAGCAGCGGAGAGAAACGGCTGGGTGGGGCCAGTGTCTTGGGGCTGAGAGGAAGTTGTGCATCTCCTCGAGAGGCCAAGGTGCATAGGGGACCAACAAGGGCCAACTTGCAAGACCCAGCAAGAGATGAAGCTTTGTTCCCACTCTGGAATATGGAGCAAATCTCCATCCCCACCCTTCCCTTTTCAGGCCAGGTGAGAAGTGATAGGGAGGGCGAGGGATGGGGACAGCCAATGGTGGGATCATCCAACAGGAAGCCACAACAGGGGGAAGAAAGAGCTGCGGATTGCCGACACCCGTTGTTTCAGGTGCAGGCCTGCGTCACCACCCCTCCCCTTGCCACAATAGCACCATTACCTCATTCCGGCCAGTGAGGGCTGCACTACTCCTTGCACATCACACCTCCTGCAAAGTTGCAAGTTGCACATAGCTCCCTCTATGGCAGAGATTTCCAGCCCCACCACGAGCTGCCTGGCTAGTCCCATATTCCAGAGCTCTAGTCACAGGACTGGCTATTGGTCCTCCCAGAGCAGCTCGGATGCACTGCAGACAACCAAAATTTTCTCACGGACAACCAGTAGCCTAGGGACCACCGGTTGGTGACCTCTGCTCTGGCTCACTAAAGAAAAAATCCTGTCCTTCCTCTAAGCGTCCTATCTTTGGGTATGGAATTCTATGAAGTGACTTGTGGACAATTGTTCCACACAGTTCAGGTCCTGGAGTAAAGGGCTTGGAAGAATGATAAAGAGTTGAGATTTTGGAGTATTTCTTATTACTTCATTTGCTCTCCCAGAAAACATTCTGAGAGATAGTTGTGGTTCAGTAAAACATATTTTCTCTTCTTTGAAAGATTGCCTAATCCACATTCAACTAGAAGGGAAAGCTGGACATTTAAGTTACTCCTACAAAGTAGAATGAGAAATGCTAGATTATGTGATTCTAACTTTCCTGGTACAGGAAAGTTTGCTGTATTTCATTGTAGTTTGCAAAAAATATTTCTAACTTTTCACCAGTAAGTATGCAAATGCAGCTTTCACTAGTTTTTTTGGAAACAGTTTTTAAACCAAAGGCTAAGGTAAAGTTACCACCCTTTGCTTAAAATAATGAATTTTATTGTTTTGGCAATGTGTAAACGATTGCACATGCTCAATACAAACTCAGTAGATGGATGCAAAGAAGTGCAATAGTCTCACAAAGTCACATGGTGGCAGTGTTACTTAATTTAAATACTATGGGCCTGTTACACTATATTCACAAGTAAACTAAACAGATTAAACAGATTTACCTTTAGTAACTGTGTGTGTGTATGTGTGAGTGTGTGTGTGTGTGCGCGTGCACACACACGTATACATTTTGGAGCCCCTCAAGACATGAGGATATTTATCAGTATGAGGAATAATAAGGTCAAGTGGCTAGAAATTATGTGGATTTCTTTCTACAGCAATCACATTCTAGATTATGTGAAAAAAAATGCATGTTATAATTTTATAATTGAATAACTTTTCTTAAGCTATTTTCTGAATCTGAGGCCATCTACATTAAGATTGAACAGCCCTCTCTCAGCAAAGGGGATGGAATAGAATGATTATGGCAAAAGAAAGCAAAAATAAAAGTAAAAGTAACAGCCACTTTAATAATAAGTGAAAGCCCTAAACAGCTGGAGCACTTCTTGAATACCAACTGCATTGACTAAATTATTGTCCATCAATCAAAAGAAAAGAAGGACTAGGGGGACATGATAGCAGTATTCTAGTATTTAAGAGGCTCCCACAAAAAAGAGGGGGTCAACTTATTTTCCAAAACACCAGGGGGCAGGACAAGAAACAATGGATAGAAACTAATCAAGGAGAAAAGTAACCTAAAACTAAAGAGAAATTTCTTAACAGTGAGAACTATTAACCAATGGAATGGCTTACCTTCAGAAATTGTGGGTGCTCCATCACCAGAGATTTTTTTTAAAAAGTTTTTTATTTTTTAGACAAACAAACATGTAACACATCAGTTTTCTCTTCCCTGTGACATCTTAGTGTTTATTTATTTATTTATTTATTTGATCTGATTTCTATACCGCCCTACTCCCGAAGGACTCAGGGCGGTGAACAGCCAACAATAAAATCCATACATACAAAATTTAAAAGCAGAATTAAAATCAAATTAAATAGTTTTGGCCAGGACAAATTAAAATCCCAAACAATTTAAAACCAATTTTAAAATTTGAATATATAAAATACTAAAAAATATTAAATATTAAAAATTCTTTTATAAAAGAGGGAGAAAATTAGGCCAGGCCTGCCTGGTGAAATAAAAAGGTCTTTAGAGTGCGGCGGAAGGTGTGCAGATCCGGGATCCTCCGTATCTCCGGGGGGAGCTCGTTCCAGATAGTAGGTACCTCCACAGAGAAGGCTCTCCCCCTGGGGGCCGCCAGTCGGCATTGTTTGGCTAACGGCATCCAGAGGAGCCCCTCTCTATGGGAGCGTACCGGCCGGTGGGAGGCTATTGGTGGTAGTAGGCGGTCCCGCAAGTACCCAGGTCCTGAGCCATGGAACGCTTTAAAGGTGGTAACCAAAACCTTGAAGCGCACCCGGAAGACCACCGGGAGCCAGTGCAGCTCGCGCAGGAGGGGTGTTACATGGGAACGCCAAGTCGCTCCCATTACCACCCACGCGGCCGCACTCTGCGCCAGTTGGAGCCTCCGGGTGCTCCTCAAGGGGAGCCCCATGTAGAGAGCGTTACAATAGTCCAGGCGGGAGATGACGAGGGCATGAGTGACCATGCATAAGGAGTCCCGATCGAGAAAGGGACGCAACTGGCGAATCAGGCGAAGCTGATGAAAAATCCTCCCGGTCATGGCCGTCAAGTGCTCTTCTAAAGACAGCCGTGAATCCAGGAGGACGCCCAAGTTGCGAGCCCTCTCCGTGGGGGCCAATGATTCGCCCCCAATAGTCAGTGATGGCACCAACCGACTATATCGGGACGTCGGAAACCACAGCCACTCGGTCTTGGATGGGTTGAGCCTGAGCCTGTTCTCCCCATCCAGATCCACATGGCCTCCAGGCATCGGGACATCACTTCAAGGGCATTGTTGGGGTGGTCTGGGGTGGAGATGTACAGCTGCGTGTCATCAGCATACTGATGGTACTTCACCCCAAAACCACGGATGATCTTGCCCAGCGGCTTCACATAAATGTTGAACAGAAGGGGCGAGAGGACCGACCCTTGTGGCACCCTACATATGAGGGGCCTTGGGGTTGACCTCTGCCCCCCTGCCAACACAGACTGCCACCGGTCAGAGAGAAAGGAGGAGAACCACTACAACATAGTGCCTCCCACCCCTAACTCTTCCAACCGGTGCAGCATGATACCATGGTCGATGGAATCAAAAGCCGCTGAGAGATCTAACAGGACCAGGACAGAGGAGCATCCCCTGTCCCGAGCCCTCCAGAGATCATCAACCAATGCAACCAATGTCGTTTCCGTGCTGTACCTGGGCCTGAAGCCCGACTGGAACGGATCCAGATATGTCGTTTCATCCAGGTGCTGGGGGAGCTGTTGCGCAACCACACTCTCAACAACCTTCACCACAAAGCGAAGGTTGGAGACCGGACAATAATTTACCAACATTGCCGGGTCCAGGGAAGGCTTCTTGAGGAGAGGCCTCACCACCGCCTCTTTCAAGGTGGTGGGAAAGTCACCCTCACCCAACGAAGCATTTATAATCCCCTGGAGCCAGCCTCGTGTCACTTCCTGGGAAGACAGCACTAACCAGGAAGGACACGGGTCCAATAAACAAGTGGTCACGTTCAGTCTACCCAGTATCCTGTCCACGTCCTCGGGGGTCACAGGATCAAACTCATCCCAGATAACATTCTCAAGACCTGCCCCAGTCCCTCCCCCTGAGACTACCCAGTCGGAGTCCAGATCTTCCTGAATCTGAGTGATTCTGAGTGATCTGAGTCATACAGATACTGAACAAAATCCTCGGCTCTACCCTCCAAGGGATCCTCCCACG